TATACTATGACGTTTTTATGACATTTTATGCCTTACTATACTATGACGTATTTATGACTTATACTATCTTACTATTACTATACTATGATGTTTTACTTTTTATGCCTTACTATACTATGACGTTTTTATGACATTTTATGCCTTACTGTACTATGATGTTTTTATGCCTTACTATACTATGACATACTTATGACTTTTTATGACTTACTAAACTATGACGTTTTTATGCCTTACTGTCCTATGACGTATTTATGACATTTTATGCCTTACTATACTATGACGTTTTTATGCCTTACTGTACTATGATGTTTTTATGACATATTTATGCCTTACTATACTGTGACATATTTATTACTTTTTATGCCCTACTATCTGATGACTTTTTTAAAAACTTTTTATGCCTTACAATACTATGACGTTTTTATGCCTTACTGTCCTATGACATATTTATGACTTTTTATGACTTACTATACTATGACATTTTTATGACTTTTTATGCCGTACTATACTATGATGTTTTTATGCCTTACTATATTATGACGTTTTTATGACATTTTTATGCCTTACTATACTATGACGTTTTTATGCCTTACTATACTATGACGTTTTTATGACATTTTATGCCTTACTATACTATGACATTTTTATGACATTTTATGCCTTACTATACTATGACATATTTATGACTTTTTATGCCTTACTATACTATGATGTATTTATGACTTTTTTTCCTTACTATATGATGACTTTTTTGTGACTTTTTATGCCTTACTATACTATGATGTTTTATGCCTTACTATACTGTGACATATTTATGAGTTTTTACGCCTTACTATACTATGACGTTTTTATGCCTTACTATACTATGATGTAATTATGACTTTTTTTCCTTACTATATGATAACTTTTTTGTGACTTTTTATGCCTTACTATACTATGACGTTTTTATGCCTTACTATACTATGATGTAATTATGACTTTTTTTCCTTACTATATGATAACTTTTTTGTGACTTTTTATGCCTTACTATACTATGACGTTTTTATGCCTTACTATACTATGATGTAATTATGACTTTTTTTCCTTACTATATGATAACTTTTTTGTGACTTTTTATGCCTTACTATACTATGACGTTTTTATGCCTTACTATACTATGATGTAATTATGACTTTTTTTCCTTACTATATGATAACTTTTTTGTGACTTTTTATGCCTTACTATACTATGACGTTTTTATGCCTTACTATACTATGATGTAATTATGACTTTTTTTCCTTACTATATGATAACTTTTTTGTGACTTTTTATGCCTTACTATACTATGACTTTTTATGCCTTACTGTACTATGATGTATTTATGAATTTTTATGCCTTACTACACTATGATGTTTTTATGCCTAGTTATACTATGACATATTTATGACTTTTTATGCCTTACTTTACTCTGAAGTTTTTATGCCTTACTGTACTATGACATATTTATGACTTTTTATGCCTTACTATACTATGACGTTTTTGACAATTTATGCCTTACTGTACTATGATGTATTTATGACTTTTTATGCCTTACTATACTCTGACGTTTTTTTGCCTTACTGTACTATGATGTTTTTATGACTTTGTATGCCTTACTATACTATGACGTTTATATACCTTACTATACTATGATGTTTTTATGCCTTACTATACTATGACGTATTTATGACATTTTATGCCTTACTCTACTATGACATTTTCATAACTTTTCATGCCTTACTATACTATGATGTTTTTATGAGTTTTTATGCCTCACGGCTGTTAATGCCTGACTTTTTTATACCTTTCTATACTACGATGTTTGAATACCTAACTATACTCTGATGTTTTTATGCTTGTACTATACTATCACCTTTTCATACCTCACTATAATAAGTCATTTTTATGCCTCATTATGTTATGATGTTTTTATTCATTCATTACCCAGTTCCTAGGCCACATCAAATTAGGGAATCGACACAACAGATGACAGTTGATTTTAATATTTATTATAAAAATGAATAAACTGAAGAGACAAATACAAATATGGAGTGAGACAGTCAGTAATATCAGTAATGTGAGTGTGCGTGAGTGAATGTAGTGAATTATAGGATGTTGTAAAGCAAAATGAAAACAAAAGCAAAAGAAAGTAAAATATGCCAATGCTGGCAGGGATGAATCCAGGTGAGAGAGAGGGAAGAGCATTGTGAGTCCATGCCTTCATGCCTTGGGAGTGCTCAGCCCAGGAGCTCCACATCTGGCCACTGTGATCATATCCGTCCATTTACCTTCAAAGACACACCAGCACAGTAATTGTCCATGAAAACTAGACTCAAAGAGGGACCATTACAATGCCTCATTACACTATGGTGTGTTTTTGTTTTATTTTTAATTTTTATTTTTTTTAAGTTATATTTTGGGCATTTTTTATTTTATTGTGATAGAGACAGTGAGAGAGACACAGGAAGGTTGGAGAGAGAGAGGAGATGACATGCAGCAAAGGGCCTTACCATACTATGACGTTTTTATGCCTTACTATATACTATGACTTTTTTATTACTTTTTATAACTTATTATACTGTGACTTTTTTTATGACTTTTCATGCCTTAATACACTTTGTTGTTCTGCTTTACCATACTATGATGTTTTTATGACTTTTTATGACTTATTATACTATATTTATTTTTGACTTTTTATGCCTTACTATACTATGACGTTTTCGTGACTTTTTATGTCGTACTATACTATCTCGTTTTTATGATTTCTTTTGCCTTACTATATTAAGACATTTTTAAGCTTTTTCTTGCCTTTTTATGTCTTATTATACTATGACTTTTTTATTAGTTTTCATAACTTATTATACTATGACTTTTTTATGACTTTTCATGCCTTAATACACTTTGTTTTTCTGCTTTACCATACTATGATGTTTTTGTGACTCTTTATGACTTAATTACAATTACGTTTTTATGCCTTACTTTACTCTGATATTTTTATGACTTTTATGCCTCAATATACTATAACGTTTTTATGACTTTTTATGCATTACTACACTATGTCTTTTTTAAGACTTTTCATGCATTACTATACTATTGCATTTTTATGACTTTTCATGCCTTACTATACTATGTCATTTTTATGACTTTTAATGCCTGACTATAGTATGAATTTTTTTTTAACTTTTTATGCCTTACTATACTGTGTCATTTTTTTGACTTTTTATGCCTTACTATAATGTGACTTTTTTATGCCATACTATATTATGACATTTTTAAGCTCTTTTATTCTTTATTCTACTAAGACAGTATTCTGCCTTACTAATATGTCTTGTTTTTATGACTTACTATAACATGACTTTTTTTGATTTTTTATGCTTTACTATACTATGTTGTTTTTATGACTTTTTATGCCTTAATATATTATGATGTTTTCATGACTTTTCATGCCTTACTAATATGTCTGGTTTTTATGAGTTTTTACGACTTACTACAATATGAATTTTTTTGACCTTTTATGTCTTACTATACTGTGTCGTTTTTATGACTTTTGATGCCTTAGTATAATGTGACTTTTTTAGATTTTTTATGCTTTACTATACTATGATGTTTCATGACTTTTCATAAGTTATTATACAATGATGTTTTCATGACTTTTCATGCTTCAATATGTCTAGTTTTTATGAGTTTTTGACTTACAATAATATGAATTTTCTTTGACTTTTTATGCCTTACTATACTGTGTCATTTTTATGACTTTTCATGCCTCACTATACTATTGTATTTTTTTTGACTTTTCATGCCTTACTATACTGTTTTGTTTTTATGACTTTCCATGCTTTGCTATAATATGACTTTTTTTTTTACTTTTTATGCCTTACTTTACTCTGATATTTTTATGACATTTATGCCTTACAATACTATTGTGTTTTTTTTTACTTTTTATGTCTTACAATACTATTGTGTTTTCTTTACTTTTTATGTCTTACTATACTATGTCATTTTTATGACTTTTCATGCCTTACAATACTATTGTGTTTTTATGACTTTTTATGTTTTACAATACTATTGTCTTTTTATGACTTTTCATGCCTTATTATAGTGTGACTTTTTTATGCCCTTTATTACTTACTCTACTAAGACGGTATTCTGCCTTACCATACTATGATGTGTTTGTACCATACCATAGTATGATGTTTTCTGCCTTACTACAGTATGACGTTTTTTTGTCTTTTTATGACTTATTATACTATGATGTTTTCATGACTCTTCATGCCTTACTAATATGTCTTGTTTTTATGACTTACTATAATATGAATTTTTTTGACCTTTTATGCCTTACTATACTGTGTCGTTTTTATGACTTTTGATGCCTTAGTATAATATGACTTTTTTAGATTTTTTATGCTTTACTATACTATGTTGTTTTTATGACTTACTATAATATGAATTTTTTTGACCTTTTATGCCTTACTATACTGTGTCGTTTTTATGACTTTTTATGTCTTAATATACTATGATGTTTTCATGACTTTTCATGTCTTACTAATATGTCTTGTTTTTATGAGTTTTTATAACTTACTATAATATGAATTTTTTAGACTTTTTTGGCCTTACTATACTATTTTATTTTTATGACTTTTTATGCCTTAGTATAATATGACTTTTTTTTTACTTACTATACTATGATGTTTTATGACTTTTTATGTCTTACTATAGTATGTTGCTTTCATGAGTTTTTATGCTTTACCATACTCTGACGTTCTTATAACTTTTTAGGCCTTACTATACCATGACATTTTTATTCCTTATAATACTATTACAATATTATGACTTTTAATGTTTTACTATAGTATGACATTTTATACCTCACTATACTATGACTGTTTCATGCCTTACTATAGTATGACCCTCATTTGTTAAAGCATGATGGTGATAAAACACTTTGAAATCTCATTCTTCATCCTTATTTTTCTCCGTTTCAGCATCGAGGGGGAGTATGTCCCAGTCGAGGGCGACGAAGTCACATACAAAGTGAGCCGGGTCCCGCCCAAGAACCTGAAGGTGCAGGCGGTGGAGGTGAAGATCACACATCTCAATCCAGGGACGAAACACGAGACCTGGTCTGGGCAGATCATCAGCTCATAGGATCTGAGCTCCGGGCCTGGGGGGGTCGTGCTTGGCAGGGCTGGGTAGGGGGTGGTAGAGGTCCTCTGGGACTGGGTAACTCACATTCTGTGCTTAAAAACTTTCTTTTAAAACATGTTTTACCTACACAGCACAGTCCAGTGTTAGTAAGTGTCAATAATTCATTTGTAGCTGGCAATGACAGATCAACTCTTTTCTTTTTATCAACAGAGCTGATAAAGTGTCTGTTTACTGCACTGAGGATATTGCTGTGTGTGTGAAACTGACCATTTATTCAGTGTTAGTAAAGTCACATGTTTGATTAATTTATACTTTGTGTTCAAAGTCAAATTTCAGATGGGAGAATAAAGTTACTCTGATTTGTCAATCAACTGTGAAAAATATGAAACATTGGGGAAAACTGTAAACATAACTGAGGTGCAGATCTTCAAACTGAGGCGTGATTGCTGAGCAGAGGTGGACAGTAACAAAATACATTAACTTGAGTCTTTACTCAAGTATATTTTCTGAGTATCTGTACTTTACTTGAGTATTATTTTTGTTTTTGTAAATTCATGACTCCATTACTCTTAAAAGTCAAATATTGTAGTTTTGACTCCACTACATTTCTGAAGTGAAGTGAAGTACTCTTACTTTGGAGCAGAGCTTTTAGTCAGAGGACTGAATTTTATTTTATTTTGAAAATGTGATAGACCATACAATGTGTTCATCACAGGAACAAAACCAAATACAGTCAACTCCTCCACTGTTGGCCATGTTTGAACTTGTCAGTGTCCTAACAATGGCCACTAGATAAAGATGAGGCCAAGGATTCTTCAAATCCATGTTTTAAATTTTTAAATTAAATAAAGATTCCTTTTGTTTTAAATGTTTGCTGTACAGTCAGTCAGTGCTTAACTCAAGTAAAAATTTGACTGAACAACTTGGAGTCATATTTGACTAATTCAGCTGTGTACTTTGTCCACTTCTGCTGCTGAGTGTACAGTGAGGAGGAGAGCGAGGCAGGACAAAAGGCTGAATTCAGTTTTACTTCCCTTCTTTGCAGCAGTTATGACTTGTTTACTTCACCAAAGTTTCCAGGTTCAAAGGTTAGGTGCGAGCAGGGGTTAAATGACTTGTCGTCACAACCTGCACTGTTTTTACATCAAGTGCAGAATTCAACAACAGAGATAAAAGAAAGTCGTTTAGGGACTTGAATAGGGTTGATGAGATTTGAATGATTGTGTTGCTAAGTGAAAGAAAGATGAAACGGCAGGTTGACAATCCTTAAAGCAGTAAATCACAGCTGGTTGTGCATTAGAAACCCAAATAAAATCTACACAAAAATCCAAAGCCCTTGACAGGACATCTCATGGTTTTCTTCTGGGTTTCAGGTCACCAGTTTAGACACATGATGTTAGGATGGAAAAGAGGAAGATTTATTTTAAAGTTGAGAGGGAATGTACTGAAGGTTGGAGGCAGAGAAAATTAATAGTTAGGAATTCAGTTTGTCTGAGAAGGAAAAAGCATCAAATGAGAGCAGGATTGAAGCAGAAATATCACATTAAACCAAATATAGACATTTAAAAAACAAACTATACCCAGTATTTTACTGTGAATGGAAAGTAATTTTTTTCCCACCTGAAAATACATATCCTTGGTTGTTTAGTCTTGTTTGTGGTTATTTATTTTGAATTATTTATTTGATGATTTGTTCAGATTTGTGTGTGTGTGTCCTCAGTTTACAAGCTTTTATATTTTGGGTAATACAGTCAAAGCTTGCACTGAAGAAATGTAAACTTCCACTATTAAAACTGCCACAACAGCACTGCAGACATCACCGTCAGGTTTTACTCCATTTGTTGTCCTGTTTGAAAACTCCTGTTTGGAAAAGGGTCTAGAGCCATGAATTGCTGAAAAACAAAACAATTTCTAAATCTCTTTTTCTATTATTAGAAAAACATGTATCTGTGTGTGATTTACTGAGTGTAGTCACGAGATGGTGAACTACACGACTTCATAGTTGGTGCCAATAGAGATCATTGTCACAATAATGTTGTTTGTAGATATTCAGGTTATATACTGTACTGTATATCATTTTCTATTATATCTGTCCCATAGAGTCTCTATGCATCTTGTCTCATCTGTTGGTGTCACTGCCTGAATTAGTTCAACATGAACCTTTGTTCATCTCTGTCACATCAAAGGGCACTTTGTTTTGTGGACGAACCACATGATTACTTCTACTGAGCCTTGAAAGAACATTAAAGCGTTTTAAGATTCACAGGTTTTGTGGGAGCTGTGTTTCTTTAGGTTGTGTGTGTGGAAGTGAGACTGTTAATGATCCAAGGGCCATGTAAAGCACCTCAAACCAGGTTCAGCCAATATCAGCAGTTCCAGTCCAACTCGCACCAACTGTTGCCAAAAAAATGAGAAGAAGCAGTTTGAGCAATGGACTACTTTCAACCTGTAGACTTGCCTCTGGGCAACACCTATAGACCAGGAAGTAATACACTCTACCGTTTAACTGCAGCTCTACAAATTAACTCTTGCACTGCCTGAGGCAATGACAATTATGACTGCTGTTTTCTGGCTGGAGAGCAACAGCAGGGGACTGACTGACTGACTGAGTGATCATAATTCCACCATTGGTCAACAAGAGTTTTAAGACCTTATTTTCCTTTATTTTAATTTCAGACTTTTTAAGACTTTTTAATGAGCCGCAGGAACCTTTGTTAAAATGTATTTCACTTTCAAAGAACCTGGGCAGACTGGATAGGAAAGTTTTTGGCGACCCCCAGTGGTCAAATGAAAAGGCCCCGTGGAGAACCTGCAGCGTGCTTACTGTATTTCTGAGGTCAAAGACCAGTTTGGTCCAACTAGGTTAAGAATGAGACTGGAGATCTGAAGTCGGTGAAATGATATCAAAAAAGATGTATTACAATGAATGAGTGAATTACATAAAATACATTTTTATCAACAAATGACTGAAAAGCAACATGATCAATCTTACAGTTAGAATCAGAGACGCAGTAAATTCTCCGCTGTGCATGTAAGTCTGTACATGATCCTTCTGATGTAAGAGTGTTTACAGTCAGACACAAGACTGCAGCTGATGTATGTGACTTATCAAAAGTCTTGTATTCACAATAACGATCCATCCATCAACTTGTTATGGGAAAATTAAACTGGCAGTTTTCACATTTTTAAAACGTATTTAAAGAAAAAAAAAAGCAGCTGTTGAAAACAGCATAACCCTTTGCAACAAGGAATCAAGCAATAAGCATCAATACATACAGTCACCACGTGTACAACAGCGTGCAGGCCATGATACAGCTTGTAAAAATATTTTACATAAAAAGCTGTCGAAACTGACTGACAAAAGTTTGTAGAGTGACTTGGTCACAGTAGCTTAATTCACTGGTTAAGATGAATCCATTGAGTCAGTAATGTTCAATTTGAAATATAAATCTCATAAATTGTCACTTAAATGAAGCAAAATGAGCAACACTAGCAAACGTCTTTCATTGAGGTTTTACCATCAACAAATTTCATCCACCTCAGAGCTGTAGAGACGTTAAAACACCTGGAATGATTCATATATCCTCGAGAGGGGGAAAGGTCCACATCTTCTTTAACGCTTTACTCACAAAACAACAAGCAAAAGTCACCTGTTTTAAAATCTCTCTCCTTTAGAAGTATTCAACAACACGATACCAACCACTGGTATAAAATCATCCCAACATTAGTGCAAAACATCATTCTATAGATACATATAAAGTAATGTGGAGTATTAACTTTCATTTCATAATCTCTCAAGCATTTGGTTAACTTTATGTTATATCTTTATGTTATATGCTACACATCGCAGAGGTGTGACTCTGCAGTCAAACACAGCATTAAAACCTCACACATCAACATGTAACACTTCAGTTACTGTCCCTTTTAAAAAAAAAACATGGAGAAAATCAGTAGTTTAGCTTTTAGCAGTTCATAAAAAGCCTGGTGTCGTACCAGCAGAGTCATACATGTGGGAGTTCAGAGGGGCTTGTGGGTAAAGGGACCGGGGGCATAGGAGGAGAGGGGGGGTGGGGTAGTTCAGTGCATCATGACTCGTGTGGTGCATCAAAAAAAAGCTCCCGACAGAGTCTGGCCGTGTCCTCCGGACAGTAGACTGTGAAGCCGATGGTCCGCGGGTCGTTGAAAATTTCATAGTCATTTCCTCCCTACAGAGAGAATCATTAACATCATGAAGCAGAACACGGAGCCGATTACTGCGGCTTGATTTGGCTTCTTCTGTTTGATCAGCGTTCGTTTAGTAATCTACTTTAACCCCTCAGCCTTTAGTTGTTGACCTAGTTGGTACTGCAATTAGCAAATATTGATGGATTCTTGGTGCCTTGTTTCTTTATATTATTATATAATTATTTATCATGATGAAATCTTCCGTAAGTTTAGATGTTTTTATGTCTCTATTTATTGTTTATTTATTTATGATGTGTACTGGTTATATTGTTGAATACTGCTGCAAACCAAATTGCCCCACAGGGACAATAAAGACTTTCTATCTATTTAACTTTACAAACAGTGGAAGGCCTCAGGTTTATTTCTGTGTTACTGACGATTACAGAGAAAACTGTGCAGAACAGTAATAAAAGTAGGGTCAAACTAACTCTCTCATACTCTGGCTGACCTCAGCCCTCATCCAACATCTGTGAGCCTTGTCAACCAGAATCCGTTTTCGACCTGACTAAAGGCTCTTGCAGCTGAATAGGAACAAATTTCTGCAGCCATTTTTCAAATTTTTCCAAGAAGTGTGACCACTAGGGACATTTCCAGTTTGGCGGTCAATATATCATTGAAATATCCAACCCATGAAATAAAAAAGGGGGGCAGTCATGTATTTTGACCATGGTAACTGTTATACTGTAATAAACTATTGGCTGACTGATAAAATGACGACTCCCTACCTTTGAAGCAGTCGTGTTTGAAGTATGTTTGTTTTTGTTAGTTTACTGCCTGGTTATGAACTCCTAACCAATGACTTAGCCAGCTATTCTTTTCTCTGGGAAATAAAAATTTGATTGGATAACTCTATTTTGAGGGTTTTAGCTTCACTTGTCAAGCTGCTATAGCTAGCAGCCAGCCCCCTCTATTGGCCAAAACAAGCTCAACGGTAGACGTCCGTTTTAAATTACAAACGTTAAAATGGGGACAGCTCCAACTGCAGACAGGCCACCATAAACTGGGACTGTCCCATGAAAATTGGGGACATCTGGTCACCCTGTTCTACAGCAGCTTATTAATCCCTGCAGTTTACAATGAGATGTTCAACACATCACATATGAGTGTAATATTTTCTGTGTAATATACACAACAGTGTTTCTCTCACAGGCCTGCATCTAGCTCTGCTGTTAACACTTCCAGAGACGAACTTACATCTGAGGTCTCGTTGCCAAAGAAGTAGATGGCGTCCAGGCCTTCACTCTGCAGCAGCTCCAGACACAGTCTCTTGTCCCAGCCCTCCGGAAAAATGTCAAAGCTGATGAGACCACCTAAAACAAGATGATAACAAACATCCCACTTTGTTATAATCATCGACTTTATCATATACACAGTGGATTTCTTGAACAAATACACAACATACTTTCAGCAAGGAACAGACAAAGCAGTGTTAATGTTACCTTTACATACAATACAGTTTTTATTAACCAGTCCACTCTTCCACTTGTATTTACAGTCAACACCTCCAGCTCTGCAGAACAAATGTTCTTTACGCTTTTTTTTTAGCTCCAGCAGGGACAAACCTGTTTGTTCTGGCAGTTCAGGGAACTCATTGGCACAAAGATGAACTCTACACAAAAGAAATGATGTGTCACAAATGAACACACATACTATTTGTGTTCATTTGTGACCGCAAGTAATCCTCATGATATGTGTGATTGCAGCTGCAGCTCAGAGATAAGATCGTGACTGCAACGTTTTCTTTTCTAAAATCTTGCATTTACACAGTTACAGCTCTGGCTCTCATTACAGCTCATTTTGGTTCTTCACTTTAAAATTCTCAGAAGCTCTGTTGTTGCTCAGCTGTGTGTTGACATTTGAACTGTGAAAGGAAGCTGAAAAGCCTCCTGCAAAGTTCTTGCCTTTCTATTTTCTTTCCCTTCCCTTCCCCCCCTTTCCACCTTAAATTCTTTTCACTGCTTTGTTTCTCAGCTGAAGACTTAAAGAGCCAACAACAAAGGCAACAGCTGAGAAGCATCCAGCCAATCAGAGGGCTGTATCCCTCACACACCCTCTATACGCCTCCATCCTAAACACCTTCAACCCCAGACTATAAACACCTCAGTGATTCAGGCACATCTGTAGCAACCCATCCCCCCAGCCTGCTGTTTTCCCTCCTGAGCAGAGACCATGTAAAGGCTGCTGAGCTGCTGACAATGCATGTGTAACCTTACTCAACCTTCACTCAATCCAATTACACAACCCGCCTTAATAAATAAGGGCTAGCAAGCATTCTGGGTAAAGTACACAATAGGTGAAACGTTGAAGGGAAAACATAGACAGAAAGCTGATAAAAAAAAGTCAATGAATACAATGAATGTTCAACATTGCAGCGACATTCTCCTGATGTAGATATAGGACATGTATGTGTTGTCTTTGAGTACGTCTCCTCCTCTGTGTATGGAAGACCTTTTTTAAAATACCTTTCAAATTCTATTATTTATTCATGAATTAATAAATGTATTTATAAATGTGTTTTATTCTGCTTTTGTAAATCCATTTATAAATTTGAAGTGTTAATTGATGGATTAATCATTAATTTATAACTTCTTGAAAAGGGAATCCAGTTATTTATTCCCATTTTTAAACTGCTTTTTCTAATAGTTATTCAAATTCTATTATTTATTGGTTTATTTAATGAGAGTTTTATGCTGTTTTTGTAAATCTATTTTTAAATGATAAGTATTTATTAATGGATTAATTGTTCATTTATAAATTCTTTTTACAATCCCTATTTTAATGCCTATTAAAATACAAAAATGAAGGAACTGATTTATTACTTTTCCTGTGACATCCCTGGTCCTCCGTACTGTGATCGGTATCATTTAATAAAGAAAAAAACATCATCAGTCTCGGTGTCCCTCACATTCTGTACACTGAGTGCAGATTGGATAGAGTGTCAGGTTTATATAACACCTACTGCAGAGATCACCTGTATCAGCTGACAAGAGGGGCAGTGCAGAAGGTGATAAAGAAATAAATGATAAACTCTGTACATCCTCCGCTGCAAATGACACCAAAAACACACACCTGCTTTCCTCAGCAGCCTAAACTGATATTTTACAGCAGCTGACCCTCGGACTTTGGGTAATCAGATATCTGTGAACTCAGTTATTAGATATAAAATAATGTCACACCTCTCTTGTCTTTCTTTCTTTGGAATAGAGTGTCAAGGAAAAACAAGCCAGACTGTTTGGTTTGTTTGTCTGAACTATGAACATCCTTCACACGTCATCAGCAGAGACTCACACCTCGCAGAGCACGTAAGCAAACATTGAGCGTCCGATTCACCTTAACTGCTGTGCTGAAAGAGGGAACAGTGTGTGTGTAATAGTTAACTGAGGGCTCCAATGTCCAGCAGAAGGTCCTCCACACATCAGTAAGTGTGAGGAGGCAGAGGGATCTTCTTTATTAAACACAGATAGGAGAGACAGACAAACACAAATGCTGAAAAACTGGTTTGTCATTAAACTGTAACCAGGAGGTTTTATTTCCTGAGAGAAATTCCTCTAGCAATAGAAACAATTATGCTGTTACAGTCCTGACTGCTATTATAGGGAGAGCGACAGTGTTCAAATTATACAAGAGCTACCAATGTCCAACACAAAGCCTGAAGGACACAGTGTTGGGTTCATGATTATTAACCAGATCTGAGCTTTGTTCAAACCCTCACAGCTGTATTTTAAATTCTAGAGGCAGTCACAGTTTCCAAAGCTACAACTTAATATGAATAATGTGTATGAAGTGATGAACTCCAAAAAATAAAATTCACATGAACATTCACATTCACATCACACACTAAGAAGACTTCACTGCTGCTTCAACATGACAATAACATTAAACATTATGCACATGATATAATTTATAATGTATAATATTATTGTCATGTTTTTTTGGGATATGTTTACCTTTGTAACATGTTTAGCTCTTGAAAAAATTGTTAAAACAGGGAATAATGATAAAATGAAGACAATGTTGATCGGCCATGTGCGGTGGTTTAGTCTGATTTATAAGTTATAATACGTCCTCTGAGCAACTGTGACCGAACACTACAGTGATTGATTCAGATGCGACTTCTCTCCCTCATCTGACACAGAAGCAAAGCGTTAAGTGGCTCATTTAGCGACCTGGTTAAAACTAAAGAGAATCTATTATCGTATCATTTTTTTAGACCTTATTACTTTGTGGTTAATTACTAAATTAAAAACAGCAGCAGTTTTTTGTTCGACGCTCTCACCTTTAGTGAACCGTAGTCCCTTTCCAGCAAACTCCTCTTTTAGGGCAGCAACAAATTTCTCCCTGATCTTCTCTCTCTGTGGAGAAAAAGACAAAGCAGTCAGATTTAAGCAGGAAGCCTTGTGTATTCATTTAGGAATCTGACTGTGACTATATTTTACTTCTTATTTATGGCAGTTTTACAAGATTAAAACAGACAAACATACAGTGGTTAGAGAAAAGAGGGTAAAATGATAAATGTATCCTGTATGAAAGTAACAGAGGGTCCAGCAGGGAGCTGGAGGGTTAAACCTCTCTTCTTCTCTGCTATCTGCTTCCTCCATATCACCCGGCCCTGTGAGCCATCAATGGACAGCCTGTTAAGCTGCCCTGAAAACTCACCATTGTTTGACCTCTGTCTGCTTAATTGAGCACATTTCATGAATCAGTGAAACAGAGACAGAGAGTTGGTTCAACCCTGACTCTCTGTTTGCTTTTTTTTTTTTTTGCATTTTAATAAGGTTTAGGCAAAAATGGCAAACACTCCTCTATATAACTGTACGAGCAGCCAGTGTGAGTGACACAGAGGTGATGCAGACAGCAGAGGAATGATATGCTAACCCATAAATAGCGACTACAGACCACGTCAGGCTTATCTCTAGTTAATCTGCTGTCAGACAGATTGCATCATTCTCTCACCACCATCACAGCGGCTGAATGTTTGATGGGGATGTATTGTATTCAGACTTTATGACCCCTCCTCGTATAGTGACAAATAAAATGTCCTGTCTACATCATGCATGCTGATCGCTCACTAATAATGTACGAGTGACAAAAGTATTTTAACCTTGTCGATTTCGGAGAATTCGATTCGCTCCTCCGGCGTGCAGCTCCGACCAATGGGAGAAATGTTGATCATTCCATTCCTGAACTCAATGAACGTCCCCCTGCCGGCGTGGTCAAAAGGGATGCAGGGTTAAATGACATTAAAAAGAGACGTAACTGAGACACAGACCTGATTTCGGTCGGACATGACACCAAGTCTACAAACAGAGCAAACGAAGAAGACGTGTGGAGATTGTGTTTTAACTTTATTTTTACACGGACGTCACAAGAGGCACGTTTGTTCTGCTTCAACAGATCAGTGCTGATAAAGGAATTTAGCATTCTCGCATACAAAGAATGCAAGTCAAAGGTGTGTGTGTGTGTGTGTGTGTGTGTGTGCACCTGGGGGTTTAAGTAACTAGCAGCCTAATTGTTGTGCGAGTTTGGTCACAGTCTCACCTTTTCTTCGGCAGCTTGATGAGCCCCATGTAGCTGAGGCAGAAGTTGATCAGGTCCTGCAGAAGCTCCTCACCTATCTGGTTCTGAATCGCCTGCCAAGAGAAAAATGCACTTTATTAATAAACAAAATGACAGACTGTGCTCTGTCGCAATGTTTTTATACTTTAGATTTTTACTGACAGTTTAATACAGCTGGTTAAAATGATTAAGTGTATCAACATGGAGAAGAAAAAGTCCTCCCCATCAGCTCTACAGGGGTAACATGTGAAGAATGTACAGTATGTGCTACATGCATGCAGTCCCGTGTGCTGCCCTCAAGACAGATAATGTGTAGCGTACCAGCTGACAATGTGGCGGATCACTTACATGTTTTGAGAGGAGTTTCCCATCTTTGTACTGCACTGTCCCGTTCTCAGCAAATACATAGTCAAACTTGTGTATCACTGCAAAGAGAGGAGGCAGGTGAAATTAGAGTAAATGCGCAGATTGACTCTCTAAAACCTGCACGCTCAAGTGAATCAGTGGCTCTTCACTATTAATACAGAAGAACAGAACAGCCCGCTATATTAAACTGGTAGCAGATTACAGTGTATGTAACACATTGCCTGGAAAAGTCAAGTGTAATCTGTCTGACCTTCCCACGCTGACCTTTGTGTTCTTTGCCAACAACACTCAGCAGGGAAAGTCTAACTTTGTCTATCAGACCAGGAGCACCGTGAGACCAGCAGAGTGACGTGATGCTGTGGGCGGGGCCACCAGAAAAAACATGTTTTTGGATTGTTTCGATGGGTGTTTATTAAAAGTGTCTAAAACAGGTTTGTTCTGGTGGCCCCGCCCACAGCAACACGTCACTCTGCTGGTCTGACGGTGCTCCTGGTCTGATCTCCTACCTGGGAGCGAGCTGATCAGAATCTACTGCAGGGGATGAACCGACTGTATATGGCTGACCTCACACAACCCCACGACAGAACACCTGAACTGTCCCTTTAAATCAGCTGTCTGTTACTGGAAAAAGTGATTAATTAGTTCATACATAGTGTAATACATTCTCACTGATGGCGTTGTAAAACTGACCATAATAATAACTTTTTTCATCATCAATAAAACATATTGCAGTAATCTTAATATTATGTCTAACATTTTCTGATAGGTCATCACATACACAGCAACAGCAGCTACAACAACATCAGCTGCGTCTGTGTGCATCATGAAATATAAACAGATCCACCTTTAGCACCGTTGGCATGCTGGTTAAAACCACAAGGCTCTTTCTTTGGCAGAATACATCTACATTCCAGGTGCAGCAGCCCAATATTGACCGATAGAGAGGTTTTCAGCCTGTCCACGCAGGTGTGTGTTAACCCAGCTGGGACGTTGCTGGCACTGCAGTGTAAGGGTCAGTGTGCCAGTGTGTTTTGGCAGCAGGTTTGGGAGTCACAGGTTGATAAAGCAAAAGTAAAATGAACCACTGGAGTTGTCATGTGAGGTCAGATGTCAGTGACGGCACAGGAGTCTAAGTTTAGTATGTTCCCGTTTTCAACTGTGACTCCCAACGTGCTGTTGCCAAATCCTCTTAAGGCATCGATGACGAGTTTAAATGCAACAGTTACTAGCCCAACGCTATTGCTGCATAGACAGAGGAACAGAAGGATCGTTATCCTCCTTTTATATCTCTATAATCATCTCTATTTAGATGCTGGAGGCAAAGACCTTAATTCGAACTTGTGGCCTAAATCCTAAATGATTCCCAGGACTCATCCTCTCTGCTCCACTCTCTGCAGACTTGTGTCCAATTAAGCAGACGTTACAGTAAAAAGTGTCAGGTCACGCAGTGTCATCCAGCTGGGTGAATGGTATACAGTGTATTTAGACAGGAAGCAGACCGCTCACCGTCATCCCCCTCCCCGAGCTGCTCTGCTATCTTGGAGTAGTCGGACCCTCCCACGATGCCGATCTTCACTTTCCTCCTCAGAGTCTGGAAGAACTCGTCCAGCTGTGGGTCGATTTTCTGCAGAAGACGGGAAAATGCACTTCATGTTATCCCTTTCTTATATACATATATCATTAAAAAGCTAAAATATACGTGTTTCTGATGCATTTTAACAGAGTGGTAACTGAGAACAATGTAGAATTTTCCTTTGTGGTGTCGCAACGTGAAACATGTCTCCAATTTTCTAACATGTGGGAGAAAAACGTCTGAGCTGCACACAAGGGAGACTGCATTATGTAAAACCTTGGCACGCACACACGCACACAAACACACACACACACACACACACACACACTGTTACCTTAGATAAACCCATTCAAGCAGTCAACCTCAATGTCCACACAAGAAAGACACATAAATCATTACAAATTATAATAATAATAATAAAAAAAGATGATTTTTCTCAACTTTCTAAATGACTGCCACACTCAAAAACTTCAGACACTTCAGATAATATTAGAGTATATTAGTTTTAAAAAAAAAAAATACAAATTAAGCCCACGTGAGGTGACAGACAAGACATTCACAGACATTCAGGCAAGACGCAAATGTGTCACCAGATACACACACCATCACATGAAGCAGGGACCGTGCATTAGTCTGAGGTATGTGAGGTAAACAGTGATGGGGTAACGCTGCTGTCTGTGCAGGAGGAAGGAAAGAGTTTAAGATAATATGAAAATACAGTGTGAGCTCTTAAAAAGGACAGCGTGTGCTTTCATCCCCAGTCTGTCTCCAGCGCTGGATGAAGACGAGGAAGGCAGAGCCGCAGAGGAGCACGGAGCTCTTACGAAAGCTCGTAATGACCACAAACGGTCGAATCCTGCCCGGGGTGTCAGCTCACCTCTCTGGGTGGCGTCAGGGTGCCGTCCACGTCAAACAGACACAGGATGTTTCGGTCCGACGAGAGGCCGTTTGATCTCTGCATTTCTTCTTCTCTTTGAGTTGCTCTTGGTTACTGATTGCACTTTTGATGGGAGGTTGTCACAGGTCCGCTCCCGTGCAAAACAAATGCAAAAAAAAAAGAAAAGAAAAAAGAAATTACATTCAAAAGAAGCAGTTAGCTGAAATATTTCAATAAATAAAATAGACTTCGCGGCTTTAAATGCGGTGAATTGTCTCTTATACGAGCTCACGGCTACTTCAGCTGTCTCGGGTTGGTCCGGCTCGGCTCGGCTCGGCTCAGCGAAACACCCGAGCTCACACTTCAACAACCACAACGTGCTCAACGTGTCTAGTGTCTTTTGCAACACTGTATCTCACCAGCAGCCAATCACAGCCGGGGTGAGGGACATGACGTCGATAACGGGGGCGGGGCCGTTCAGTCAACATCGAACTGACCTTTTACCTAAAAGTGAAGAGGAGTGGAAGTGATGTTGTCACCTGTGTTTATTATTGTAGAGTAATACCTCATTTATTAATGAAAAGAACTTATATGATGATAATGAATAATAAACATACTTAAGAGTAGTGTAAGTAAAAAGTATATTAGTTCTTTAAAGTTCCTGAAGATATAATAATATTGATAAACAGATATGTATTTGAACTTTATTACGTCAGAAATATGCAAATATTACATATAACATATTGCCTTGAAATTGCATTTGCTTGCAAGTTTGAGTTTGTTATAATTACTCTATTACACCCAAATGAAGTGAATGCTTCATTCCAGTGTCTATAAGAATCAAGATTACAGTTACAAATGTAATCATGAAGGAATTTGTGAAAAGTGGACAATGTTTCTTCAATAAATACATCTTGCATGTGGCCGTCCCTCCTGTTGTGGTCGTCCTGTCTGCAAATGAAGAGAAACAAACTTTGTCTGTAGATTTTATGAGTGATTGAAGTTTTATAACGCCTCCTATTTATTAGAAGCAGCAACTTTTCAAAGAAAATACTGGACTACACAACAATGATATAATTGTTTCAAATTCAGCGCTCTAATTAGTTTTAATGGTTTCTTTTTGAAGTGGTATTTAACTGTGAACTGTTATTGCCCCCTCAGGCTCAGATCACATAAACCCCTCTTTATTTGATTACTGTCAACGGTCAATACTCAGATCAGCTGCTGTGTCACAGAGGCAGGTTTGCAGCTGAGACACAGCACTCCTAAAGTTTTATTTCTGGTGTCTGGCTGACATCGCTACTAATGACCCAAAGCAACAACACCATTCACTGAGAGATCTGATCTCATTATATAGGGTTGATCTATAAAATAATTCCTGCAATCAGTGATACAGTAACAGGTGAAGACAGGCACTCCCATGACTCCTTATAAATGGGATTAATTAAAGAAAAGTACCCTTTAATTCATGAGGTCGTGGCCTAAATCAAACCAACAACAGGAGCTGCTCTCATCCTCTGTTGAAGACTGCGTCAGTGGGCACTGTAAACTTTGTTTAAATATTTTTGTTATACTTATGACCTACTTCAGATGACCTCTAACCTTTGGAAAAGGTATAAGAACACCTGAATACCTGGTCGACTCTAATCTTTTCTAATATTGATTTATCTAGGATTGTCTAAGGGTAGCATAAAATTAGATTAGATTGGATTAACTGATATTATGATATAGAATAAAATTAGATTACATAACTTGCATTACGTATGATTAGATTCGATTATGTTTGATTAGATTATGATGCAGTAAATTAGATTAAATTTGATTATGATGCAGTAGATTAGATTATGATGCAGTAAATTAGATTAAATTAGATTATGATGCAGTAGATTAGATTAGATTATGATGCAGTAGATTAGATTAAATTAGATTATGATGCAGTAGATTAGATTAGATTATGATGCAGTAGATTAGATTAAATTAGATTATGATACAGTAGATTAGAATATGATGCAGTAGATTAGATTAGATTAGATTATGATGCAGTGGATTAGATTAAATTAGATTATGATGCAGTAGATTAGAATATGATGCAGTAGATTAGATTAGATTATGATGCAGTAGATTAGAATATGATGCAGTAGATTAGATTATGATGCTTTAGATTAGATCAGATTATGATGCAGTTGATTAGATTAGATCAGATTAAGATGCAGTCGATATTATATTATATTTTATTATATTATGATGCAGAAGATTAGATTATTGCATCATTAGATTATTGCATATATTATGATGCAGTAGATTATATTATATTATATTACTGTACTCACTAATACATGTTGCAGTGCACAGCAACAAAGTCAAAACTGAGTTACTTTCTGAGAACAGGGGAAAATGGTCGTTATGAAATTCCTAAAGTAAAACCATCAGTCATGCTTTTTCTACATTTCGCTCCTGTGTGGAATTGGAATTTTTGGTTTGTGTCACATACAAAAACATGAATTCATTCACCTTCAATCACCACACAGGAACGTGACCATCACATTTTGACTTCAAATTAAAGCTTACCTTTTGGTCTTAATGCTTTCAACGACACTCAAAGTCTCACCAGTTGTTGAAACTGCACAATATTTAGGTTTTAGGAAAATTTTCTCTGCAGCCTCTCATCTCCACTGACCCAACCCATCCACAAGAGGGCGGAGCGGGAGAGAGATAGAGATGGTGCCACTCAGGACAGGTATTCATCTCACTCACATTTTAGATTTGATAATGGATTTCACCAGTTAAGGGAGCAAGCTGTGTGGAATTATAAACAGGTGGTAGGGGTTGATTTAAGTTTTAACATAGTCATGATCTAACCAAAAGTTAAATACTGTCACTACATCTCTCACTAACTGTAGCAGGAGTGTCCGTCACACTGTGTTGACTGAAGCGATGAACTGGTTGTGCTTACCAGAGGAGGGCAGGGCCCTCATACAACAAATAGCCCTTTCCATTACATATGACAATATTTGTTTTACATGTGTAAATGAGAAATGTTTACATGGGAGATTTCTTGTGTGTCTAAAAGTGTGTGCTTTGCAAAACTGTTTGTATGTTGCAGCCGACTTCTGTTTGAAAAATGCTGCAGACTTTATCAGTAGTGGAAGTGCAGCCTAAACTTTAAACTCCATTTCAATATTAACACTTTTATAAAAACTGATTCAATAAGTAAATTTAAATTATGACCTGGGTCAAATTAAAGGTCAAATTATGATGTAGGAAATGTGGAATAGTGGTTTTTAAAAAAAGTTATATTTTCACAATTTATTGGAAAATTGACTTGGATTGATTTTATTGATGGTGATATAGGTATTTACCGTGTTGGTTTGTTTGTAGAGTGATGACCCAAAGTCACCTGGACTCAACTGATTGCTGGTACAAATTCTTATGGGGCAGTTTTGCAACAGGTGACAGGCTTAATACTGGCACCATAAATCACTTGTATGTTTTATCTTTTCCGCATTTCACAGCTATCTTAAATCAGCACTGCATGGACCTGAGGTTCAACATAAGTGATAGTGCCAGAGCACAACGCAGTATGACCCCTTTCGGTTTGGTATGTTACATATACACTGTTGCCCATAAAGTTGGAATAATTTTGTTTTCAGACACAATCCGCTGTTTATTCCTATTTAAATACATCAGTAATCACTTTTGACCAGGTGCAATGATTACATTATGTGTCCCAATTACCCAGGTGAAATGAATTCATGCTTAACATTTGTTTGGCGCTAAAAAAATATTCAAAAAAATATTTTATTCCAACTTTATGATCAGCAGTGTATATGTTACGTATGCTGGCATATGTAGGGTGTGTATATATGTTTGTATGTGCTTTGACCACACTGGCAGAATTGTGGTGTTTAGTTTCAGAGTTCTCTTCAGTTATTTATGCGTCTGATTTATTAGTAAACTGCTAAGGGACATGGTATGAGGAAGGAGGTAGTGGAGGATGATTATTGTCTAATCATAAACAGACTTATCATTAGCTTCTGAAATTATGCACACACTTTTTTATCTGACTTTGACCTCAAACTCCATGTTTCTTCCAATCCCAGCAGACAGGGTCTTACAGCTTTAACCTTTATTGGAGGGATAAGGTTGTCCTTTTTCTATTTATAGTCAACAAAACAGACCAAAACCAACATGTGTTTGTCTGTCCCTCACTACTCACCAACTTTCCTACTCTGTGTTTCTGTCTCTGATTTGTTCCTACTGAAGATTTAAATATTTAAAAACAGGCAACAAATAAATTTCATTTTTAAAAACGCTTAGAAATTTCTTAAAATAGCCAGGCAATGTAGTTTTTAGAGGGATACACGAATAAATAATGCGCTTTGTGGGGACTATTTTTGGATGTGGATTAATAAAAAACCAGTGCCTGCATTAAAATCCCTTATGTGTAGGAATTAAAATGTTCCAGATGAACAGTGATTATACATTCAGTTTCAAAAGGTCATTATTTTATGATCGAGCTGTTAAAATAAAGAGTAAATTACACACTTTGTCCTTTGTCCCTCAGCCAAACAGCCAAGACCTCAGCCAAAGGAAGTGGTATTATTATTATTATGTAATTATCATTGGTTATTATTTATTATCAGCTATTATTATTATTATTCCAAATGAACTACTAGACACATGAATTTCCCCTAGGGGCTAAATAAAGTGTCTATCTATCTGTGTGTGTGTGTGTGTGTGTGTGTGTGTGGCCTCCATGCTAACCCACCTGTCTGGGTGCTCTGTGAGTTCAGTGGAAGGTCTCCATTAAAACAACCTTCTTATCTTCCTTCAGTGTGAGGGGAAAGTGCTCAGCCGGACCCATTTTCTCAGACTTACAATAACAACCACAGTCAACAACCTTCAGTTGCTATTTAACATCCAGGCTGTGACAATAAAGCAAAGAGTTTTGTTCCTTTTAGCACATTACTATTTCCTCTGCCTGATAATATGCCAGGAAAGCCTCTTCACATTAAACTGTAATGGGAATAAATGGCTGTGTGTCCCAAGCCAACCATGCTATTACAACATCATATGTGTGTGTTTGTTTAGAACGTTTACGACCCTGTAAGGTGATGGCCAGACAGGAAACTGAGTGATGATGTACTGTACTGGAAAGACAGGAGATTTAGTTGGAAATGTGTGCTGTGTGGTAGAGTCACACAGCGTAATAATGTAGTGGGTTTCTTGGTGTTAATTACGAGTTTATTAAAGGAAACTAGACTGATAATTCTGATAATTCTTAAAATTTTCCTCATCAGCAGAGGAGCAAAGAACATAAAACAGTGTGAGAAAAACACCTCCATCATGGAGTGATAAAAGA